GTTGCTGTTTTTCTGAGTAGCCTAGATACACTGCTAATTATTTAGCCACTCAATTGTGGGTGCATATTTGAGAATTTTCCAGTTTTGGGGATATTAGGGAAAATCAGCAAATAGTTCTTTTAAAAGTCTTGATGTGGATATATGTTTCTATTTCTCTGGGGTAAGTTCCCAGGCACGAGACCTGCTGGGTCATACGGTAGGTGTATGGTTTGCTTAATAGATAGAAATTGCCATATGAAATTTCAAAATGCTAGTAACATTTTAGAATTTCATTAGCCAAATATGATATTTCTACTTGCTCCATATGAGTGCCCAGATACAAGCCATGGTACTTTCAATATTGCCTACTATGCATGTGAAAGTTGGACACTGAATAAGGAAAACTGAAGAAGAATCAATGCATTTGAACCATGGTATTGGCAAAGAATATTGAAAATACCATGGACTGCCAAAAGAACAACCAGGTCTGTCTTGGAAGAAGTGCAGCCAGACTGCTCCTTAGAAACCAGGATGGCCAGACTTCATCTCATGTAGTTGGATGTGAGAGAACAGCCCCCAGAGAAGGGCAGCATGCTTAGTGAAATGCAGAGGGCCCTCGACAAGGTGGAGCGACGCAGTGGCTGCAACAATGGGCTCGCGCTTAGGAACAATTGTGAGGATGCTGCAGGACCGGCGGTGTTTCATCCTCTTGTGCACGGAGCGGTTATGAGTCGGAACTGACTCCACACACCTAACAACAACAAATGACTGTTTCTGCCCCAACACTCAGTGTTGGCAGTCTTTTCAACATTTGCCATTCTAACGGGCAAGTAGTAGCATCTCATTGCAGTTCTAATTGGCATTAAATAAGGAGGCCGAGTGTGCATCGTGCATTGGACCAATAACTGCAAGGTCGGGGGTTCAGCCTCACCAGGTGCTCAGGGGAAGACTATCTGAGGCTAGCTGTTCTCATAGACTTACAGCCACGGAGATGCAGGGGCAATTCTAGTCCTTCCTACAGGGTGGCTATGAGTCAGAATGCGCTTGATGGCAGTGAGTATATTTATTTTTGAAGGGTTTTGCGTGATTGATTAAAGGAGCCCCGGTGAGGAAGAAGTTAAAAGTGCTTGACTACTTACCAAAAGGTTGGCAGTTTGCACCCACTAACTGCTCCCTAGAGGAAAGATAAGGTAATCTGTTTCCATAAAGATTCATAGCCTTGGAAACCCCATAAGACAGTTCTTCTCTGCCCTATGGGATTGCTGTGAATTGGAATTGATTCAATAGCAATGGGTTTAAAAATATATATTTTAATGATTAATTAGGCAAAGCATCTTTTCATGTTCTTATTTGTCATCCACTATTTCTCTTTTGGTAATGTGCCTGTTTAAAACTTTTGTCCATTTTTATCACTAGGTTGTTTGTCCTTTTATTAATGAGTTGTCAGAACTTTTTCATATTTCCAGATAAGAGTCCTATAGTAGATATATGAGGAGCTCTGCTGGCATAGTAGCTTATGTGTTGCATTGGGCTGCGAACCCCAAGGATAGTGGTTCGAAGCCACCAACCATTCCTTCAGAGAAAGAAGATGCTTTCTACTCCCATAAAGAGTTACAGTCTCTGAAACTCATGGAGGGGGCAGTTCTACCATGTCCTAAAGGGTCGCCAGGAGTCAGAATGGATTCAATGACAGTGAGTACATATATGGTTTGTAAATGCTTTCTCCTGTTCTATGGTGGGTTTCTCTCTCTCTCTCTCTCTCTATATATATATATATATATATATATATATATATATGTGTGTGTGTGTGTGTGTGTGTATATATATATATATATATATATATATATATGTGTGTGTGTGTGTGTGTGTGTATATATATATATATATATATGTATATATATAGCCTTTTGATGAGCATAAGTGTTTAATTTTGATGAAGTCAAATTTAAGCCAATTGCCTTTTATGGTTCATATATTTTAAGTTCTTTCTAAGAAATCTTTGCCTTCTCCAAATAGAGGCATTTGAACATACAAAGAATTTCATATTGAACAGCCAAGACGCCTAGATTTTGTGGCGCAGCACTGATCTCCCCGGGGGGCCTCTGGTAAGCAGATTCAGACTCTGCTTCTCCCACGGATGTTTCCCTTGACATCGACTAATTCACACAGGACCAAAAACTTCCCAAGGAAAAGCAAACACACTCGACACCTGCTCGCTGTTGGGGACCAAGCACATAGAGAGGAGTCTGATGGACTCGGTTGATCCCAGCAGAGTTAGGAGAACAAGGAAATCTTTAGAGAACGTTACCACCAGGAACGAAGAGTCTAGCCTCTTACACAGTACTCAGAGGCAATTCCAGGAATGGCTGAGCAGCTGATACGTTCTGCCTGCCTTAGTTATCTCGTGTTGCTATATCAGAAATGCCAGCAGTAGATGGAGTTAACCAATGGAAACATGTTCTCAAAGAGTTTAAGAGGCCAGACGTCCTGACTCAGGGAGCTGGCCCGAGCTGGCTTTCTCACTCTGTTGGCTCTGGAGGAAGATCCTGGTCTTCTTTCAACAACTGTGAACCATGTGGTCCTTGGAGATTCCCATGCGTTTCAGCCCCCACCTTTCCCCGGCCTCGGCGCTTTTCGGGGTAGGAATCCTGGCTCTGAAAGGGCATGCTCAACTCTTGGTTCATCTTTATTGGTGGGACTGAGACACTCCTCTCTCACTGACCCTCTCTGCTCGCTTCTCTTTTATCTCTTGTAACATAAAAGGCACTGCAGGCTAAATGCAGGGAAACTGCCCTTACCTGGACCAGGACTGGATGTGGCCTGAGAAAGAGTGGTGTCTTAAGTAAGGGTGCTATACCCACCTTCATCCTGCCACATTAACATAACAAGTATAACCTAATTCTCTGAAATATAACCTAACCTTGCTGGTGGCATGGAAGCTACAAGTCGGGCTGTTAACCGTAAGATGGGCAGTTTAAAACCATGAGTTGCTCCTTGGGAGAAGGATGGGGTTTTCTACTCCCAGAAAGAGTTACAGTCTTGGAGACTCACAGGGGCAGTTCTGACTGTCCTACAGAATCATTATGAGTCAGCATCGGCTCAATGGCAGTGAGTATTAGTAGTGACAGCTGAGGTTGGGATTTATATATCACAAAATGTAGGATAATTACATCAGATCACAGATTGGAGCCCAGTCTCATAATGCTGGGATTCATGGTCTACACAAGTTGGCATGTATTTTTGGGTGGCATAATTAAACTCCTGACACTGACCTAGTCCAGCTGACTCCATTTGTCACTGTAGAAAAAGAGTTTAGTTGTCTGAAACGTAATGAACTCTAGAGTAAGCACTGAAGTGCTTTGGGGCTCAATTAATCATACTGACAACTCTTCCTTCTCTTTTCTCTACAGAAGGAGCATTCTTCTCAGTTTGCACCAGTAGAGACAAGATCTCTGGCCTCAAGATACAATGGCACCATTTCATTTTCTTAAACAATAGTGAAGTGGTTCCCAAGTCCACAGGTGGCTATAGGAACCAGAGCCAAGTCCCATTCCTAGAGAGGGACCTTTGTGAACCTGACAGCAACCAGGTGGCAGATGCCTGGCTTACCTTTCACTGTGGCCACAGTGGGAAGGGGGCACTCATCATGATGCGGGGTCCCTGGCACCTACTGAATCTGCTCCTCGATAAAGTCCTTTTTCTAGTTCCAAAAGTGAGCGTGCCCTTTCCCTCCAAAGTAGGCACTTTACACAAAGGCAGAGGTCCACTGAGCACGCATGCAAGCAAAACAACATTTTGAATCTAGTTATCTGAGTGGAGTGGAAATCCCTTATATAATAAAAAGGTTCTAGTTTCTTACCAATTCATACAGGGCTCAGCACCATATTATTGTTGCTGTTCTGATTGCCTCTGGGTTCCTAGGGAGCTGGATTCTTCGTTATTCATTTAGGAAAAGAAATCATGTGAATGTTAAGAGATCTCAGGGGTGCAAATCAGGGACAGGTTACTCAGTCAGTACCGTAAGCATGGGCTTACTTGTATTTACTAATGTTCTAGGGTGGGGGAAGGCCCAAAATTAAAACAGAATGCATAGACCCCTTTCTTAAGTCTTCAGGAGGCCCAATGGCTTAGTGGGTTGTGCACTGGGTCGTTAACCAGTTGACCAACTATACTTCAGAGAAAGACAAGGCTTCGACAGTGGGCTCCAGCTTAAACACAATTGTAAGGATGGCGAAGGACCGGGTGATGTCTTGCTCTGCTGTACTTGGGGTACTATGAGTGGTAACCAACTGGACCCCACTTAACAATGACAGTGGATGACAATGAGAGCCCCAAATCCACTTGCAAAGTCCCCATGTAATCAAGCCTCCAGTGGCTGCTCGCTGACCAATGACTAAGCATGTGAATGTCTGACCCTCAGACAGAGTGCATTGAAAAGTGGATGATTGTAGATATCGTTAGGTTCAATTTTAACATCCTGTCATTTGTTTCCCTTTTGACCCATTTGTAACTTGTTCTAATTTTTAAAAATTTTTCTACATTGTAAAAGTTATTATTTTACAAATCTTATTTAATTTAATAAATGCATGTAAGGAATTAAAGACTTTTGCATGTCTTTCATTTGCTATCCATCAGGTACAATTTAGTTCCTCCAAATCTGGTGAAAGTTCATTTTCAGACAGCCCTTTTTAAAGGAACCCACGCTACAAACCATCGCTATTGCCAAGGTACTGTCCAGCGGCACTAATCTCAGATCTGGCATTAATTCTTCTAGCGATGCCACTTTAACCTCCAATTACAGACAAACATCACACATTTTGGGCCTGAAGATTCTGTTATTCTTTTCAGGGCCATCTTTGGAGCTATGTAGATTCATTCTGCCGTCCTCTGAATTTCAGATATCCTCAACATTGAGTTTAAATCCCTTGAAGTCCCTAAGAGATGTTCAGCTAGCTCTGCAGATGATGCCAATACCTAAGGATCAAACCACACATCTATTAGATTGTTCCGACTACCTTGAAATATGTCTTGTAGTTCGTCCTCACAGAGGCAACCACTAGTTCTGCAAGTAAAGCAAACCACACAGTTCCTCCATGAGGCGTTTCCAAGGGTGTGGGTCTGCAGACAAAGCCCCATCGAGACAGACCTCATTAAGTTTGTTCCAGTTTCTATTACCTTAAATGTTCTTTTAGATTGAAGCTTTTCTGTGCATGATTTTGTTGCTGTTGTTGGAGCTTGATGTATTTGTTATATGAAATCCAGGATAGGTAATCCATAGAGATAACAATTCGATTAAGACACTTCCTTAGGGTTATGCCGGGGAGGTTGGGAAGAAATGGGGAGTTCATCATAATGGGTACAAAAACATAAGAAACTGTTCTAAACTTGATTGTGGTGATGATTGCACAACTCTTTTTACTATATTTAAGCCACTGAATTGGATGGCACATGAACTACATCCCAATAAAACTTTTATGTTTTATTATTAAAATAATAACGATGTGGGAAGCAAGACTTGTTTGTCCAGAAAGAAAGAAAAGAAGCATCTACATCAAGAAGCCCATCATGAGGCCATCCATCCCCGTGTCCGAAGGATGCACCGCTAAAAGGCAACTCAAAGAGAACAGGAAGGCAGCGGGAAAGGAGAATGGACACAAACCCATGATCGATGGCTGATCATTGCACCACGGTCACGGGTGGGACTACAGACATGGCAAAGGGGCCATGATGGTGATTCCCACACTGAGGCAGATTGGTTAAAGATCCTCCAACCAGACTGGGGTCTGACTCATTACCATGTGCCCCAGTATGCACCAAAGGCACACCCAGACAAGTCCCTGAAGGTGAGGCAACCCCGTTGTGGCCACTGGACTCAAAGCACGCCACTCTGCCTGAGGGCAAAGCTTTGCGTTGCAGGTTAGGGACTCCAAGAAGGCTGAATCTAGGTGGAGATTCGAAGTGGGTTTAGGTTCTCTCACTGTCAGCTGTAGCCTGCCACAAACTTAAGGCTCAGACCTTAGGCTCTGATATACTTACTAATTTGTAAGCACAAATAAGCCCATGCTTCCCTTATGTGGCATTTAGGTTCAACTTGCACCTGTGTGAAAGTGGAACAAGGTGGAGTCCAACCTGATGATGCCTCATTGGGGGTGTGCCCCTTTTATAAAAGAGACATTAGGAACCTCTCTCTCTCTCTCTCTCTCTCTCTCTCTGAGCCTTAACCTTCTTCCTCACTGGGACTCTGTGTTTGTCTCCAGGGGCATCCGCCTGTGGGAGCTGACCCTGGGAGCTAATTTCCAAGCTGTTGGCGCTCTGCCATGTTCCCAAACCTTGGATCCACATGAGGCTGCACTCATCTGCTTCTGATCTCCCTGCGTCCTGCTTCGCCATTCCGTACCACTGGACTGCCACAAAGTGAATTTGAAAAGAGCCCATGATTGCATCAGATCCATGGACTTGAGTTGGACTGGGCTGGGAGGCCTTCTTGATATAAAATTACTTCTTGATATAAAGTTGTTCCTTAGACCTATATAACGATCACTGGTTTTGTTTGTTGAGACAGGCCAGCCTAACACACCTTGGTTACTGGGTACTCCTTCCCTGACAGGGATTGTAGATTTGAGAAAAGTATAGAAAGGCGCTGGGGGTTGGGGGGAGGTTGGAAGAACAGAAGAGGCGAACCATGCTTAGAATCAGAATCTTTGATATAGTGAAAAAATGTGAAATTATATACTACAGATTAGTTAGTAAACAAGGTAAGCCCATGTGTGTTAGACCAGGTTGAGTAGAGAAACAAATCCAGAGACACTCATCTATGTGTAAGAAAGAGCTTTATATCCAAGAGTAATTGTATATCAAGAAAGCATGCCAGCTCAAGTCCGTAAGTCTGATATGAGTCCATAAATTCCTCTTCAGACTCATGCAGCACATGTAATGATGCAAATGCAGGCAGATCGCAGGCCGGTGAGTGCAAAGTCTGGAGGATCCGGTGGCAGTGGAAGCATCTCCAGGGCTCTTGCAGGACTCAGCATGGCTCCATGTGGCTGGTCAACAGGAAGGTGAGGCCTAGAGGGGTGGCGAGCGGCCTCTAATGAGCTATTTATCTCTTTTGTGCCTCCATATGAGGTCATCAAGCTGCGACCTGATTGACAGGCTAAACCCCACCCCTTCACTCTTCATATCCTCAAGTTGACACATTCTTATGTAACTACCACACCGTGTTAACCTTGCATTTGGGGTTAACAGACACTGTTGGGTTTTGCTCTTTGACCTTTCAGTTAGCAGCGCAGCCCACAGCCAATGTGCCAGCAGAGTTCTGTTGGTATCTAAAACATATGCTCAGTGTTAATAAGAAGCCAACCGATGTCCTCAGACTCTCTTGAGCCCTCCTTAGAGGCGGTGGGTAGATAGAAGTGGGTTGCTAGTGTTGATTTGCTCTGAAAGAGAGTGGTCAGCATGAAAGTCAGGTCACCTTATACCTGTAGAGTCAACCAGACAAAAATAACTCGGGCATCCTTTAAAATGATATGGGTACATCTCTGATCACAGTGAAGTGATGTTAAGAAGAAATACCAGAAGGAAAACTGGAAAGTTCACAAATATGTGAAATTAAACATCCTAGTTTTATCAATGGCAGAGAGTTTTATACAACTAATGTTTCCAAGAGGAATCACAAGAAGGATTTGGGAATCCCTTGGAACCAATGTTTCCAAGAGGGAGGTTATCAAAATACTCTAAAGTGCATGAAAATACCAACACAGCATACCAAAACTTTCGGGAAGCAGAAGAATTTATGCTCAGTTGAAAATGTATAGCTATAAATACAGTAAAAAAAGAGGAGAAACTCTAATCAATAAGCTAAAATTATACTCTACAAACCAACCAAACTCAATACCATTAAGTTAATTCAGATTCACAATGACAGGGTAGAACTGCCCCTGTGAGTTTCCAAGAATGTAAGTCTTTATGGGAGTAGAAAATCCCATCTTTCTTCCAAGCAGTGGTTGATAGTTTTGAACTGCTGACCTTGCAGTTCCATAAGAACTGCGTGACCATCCCGTATGAAGACCAAACTAAGCCTAAAGAAAACAGAAGGAAGGGAATACAAGGGCTAGAAAACCCGCTTCCACCCAGACTCTTCTTACTCATAGTGAGCGTAGACAGGGTGTCTGAGGCTGTAGATCTTTACAGGAGCACAGTTGCATCTTTCTCTCCAGGAGCGCCCACTGGTTCCCAGTGCCTGAGCCTGTCGTCAAGTCAGCAGCCCCACTCAACCAATCACGCCCTCAGCGTTCCCTTAATTGTGTTCTTGTCCATCAGTTGGCTCCAACCCCACCCGGCCTGGTCCCGTGCCATCTTCACAACCACTGCTTTGTTTGAGCCCATTGTTGCAGCCACTGGGTCCCTCCGTCTTGGGGAAGGCCTTCCTCTTTTTCGCTCTCCCTCTGCTTTAACAAGCACGAGGTTCTTCTCCACAGACTGGTTTCTCCTAACAATATGTCTAAAGGACATGAGATGAAGTCTTGCCATCCTTGCTTCCAAGGAGCATTCGGGCTGGACTTCTTCCGAGACAGACCTGTGTGTTCTTGTGGCTGTCCATGGTACTTTCCATACTCTGCCGGCACCATCATTCAAATGGATGGATTCTTCTTGTGTCTTCCTTATTCAAAGCCCAACTTTCACATAGATGAGGTCATGGAAAATACCTTGGCTTGAGCCAGGCACTCCTTAGTCCTCAAAGTGACAGCCTTCCTCTTCAACACTTTAACGATGCCTTGCTAGCCGATTTACTGAATGCAAGGCGTCATCTGATCCTCTCTCCACCCCCCCTTCCCCCGCCCTTGGCTTGGATTTAGTTCCATGTGGACTTAGTTGACATCTCACTTAGATGGCTGCTTCTTTGGAAATAAGCCTTTAAGATGCCAGATATTATTATATGATAGCCAGGCACACATTCTTTGCCACATTTTGCTAGAGCAGCTGTATCTTCTGTGTTCCCTTCCTGAGGACGAGTCTGGAGCAGGGCCATGACGTAACAACTAATTGTTCTTAAGTTGGAGCTAGGATTTGGTGCAAGACCAAAACCCAGTCCTAAATCTATGCTATTTTACCCCCTTCTTTTAATTTTCTATAACTTGGGAGTTAATACATATGTCATATCATTCCATAGTTCAATCACTTCAAACAGAATTGTATGATTGTTTCCATAATCAATCTCCAAACTTACTTTTCCTTCCTGGATTCCTCGACATCATCTGCCCCTTATCCCCTCCACCCTTTTATAGCCTTCCCCCCCCTCAAACCCTTGTCATTTGATTTCTAGACTGCTGTTCCATGAACATTGACTGTAGATCCAAATAAGATGGAGTTCTTGACCACTTCAGTCTTTTCTCCATGTATCATGATGTTACCTATTGATCCAATTGTGAGAATTTGGATTTTCTTTACATTGAGTTATAATCCACACTGAAGGCTACAATCCTTGATCTTTATCAAGTGCTTCAATTCCTCCTCACTTTCAGAAAGCAAGGTTGTGCATCTGCATGTTAATAAGCCTTCCTCTCATCCCAATGCCTCATTCTTCTTCATAAAATTCAGCTTTTCTGATTCTTTGCTCAGCCTACAGACTGAATAAATATGCTGAAAGGCTACAACCATGGTGCACACCTTTCTTGATTTTAAACCAACCAGGATTTCTTTGTTCTATTCAAATGACTGCCTCTTGATTCATATTCGACGTGAGCATAATGAAGCGTTCTGGAATTCATATTAGTCTCATAGTTGGTTCTGATTCACAGTCGAATGCCTTTACATAATCAGTATAACACAAGTAAACATTTTTCTGCTATTCCTAGTTTTGAACCAAGATTGAACTGATGTCAGCAATGAATGACATCCTGTGTTTCACATCCTCTTCTGATTCCAGTTTGAAGTTCTGGCATCTCACTGCCAATGTGCTGTTGCCACCGTTGCTGAATGAGCCTCCCCAGCATTGTATTTGCTGTGATATTAATGACATTATGAAATCATTTCCACATTCTGTGGGGTCACCTTCTTTCTTCCGAATGGGTACAGATTTGGATCTCTTCCAGTCAGTTGGCCAGGTCCTTGTCTTCCAAATTTCTTGACATTTGACTAGGGCTTCATCAGCTT